TAAGCAAGGGAAATGAGGACAATGTGAAAGTGAAGCCTGAATTGTGCTGTTGACCCCATGATGTTGGAGATGTCAGAGTCATGGGATACCTACTAAAGAAAGCTGCAGATCTGGTGTGGAACCAGCCCACGAGAGAGAAGAGTGTTGCCATCAACAAATCTGAAAGGAGTTGGGGTTCTGAGGAACACTTTGATATCAGACATGGAGATACAGAATGTGGAGTTTTCCCTGCTGGCTTTAGGTCTTGCTTCAGTCCAGTATTTCCCCACTGTGCTCCTTTCCCTCCCCTTTGGAATGGTAATGTATATTCTGTGTCATGGAACATTGCAAGTATGTGACCAGCTTTTTGACTTTGATTTTACAGTGGGATACAGTTAAGAGATTGCCATGAGTAACAGAAGAGACTTTGGACTTTTAAACAGTGTTGAGACTGTGATAGACTCTGGGGACTTTTGAAGCTGAACTGAATGCATTTTTGCATTGTGGTATGGCTACAAGCCCATGGGGGCCAGGGAGTGGGATTTGGTGGTCTGAATGGGAATGGCCTCCAGAGGCTCATATATGCGAATGTTTGGTGGCCAGGGAGTGGAACTGTTTTAAATGACTAGAAGGATTAGGAGGTGTGGCCTTGTTGGAGGAAGTGTGTTAATGGGGGTGGGCTTTGAAGTTTCAAAAGCCTATGTCAAGCCTAGTGTCTCTCTCTGTCTGTCTGTTTCTCTTTCTGTCTCTTTCTGTCTCATCTCTGTCTCTGTCTTAGCCTGCAGATCAGGATGCAGTTCTCAGCTTCATTCCGGGTATCATGCTCCCTGCCATGATGACAATGGACTAAACCTTGAAACTCTAAGCAAGCCCCCATTTGAATGCTTTCTTTTATAAGAGCTGCTTTGGTCATGGAGTCTCTTCCTAGCAACAGAACAGTGACTAAGACAGACTCTAAAAGGTTAACCTTTGCTAGTTTCAAAAGCAAACAGTCCTACTCAGAATGTCCCTTTTTACATCTATACCTTCTAGGGTATTACTCATGTTTCTTTTAGAGTTTCAGAATCATGCTTCACACTGCGGTCTCTGATTCATTTCAAGTTAATGATTTTTATGCAGGGTGATAGACAGGAGTCTTAATTTCATTCTTATACACGTGGATATTCATTTTCCCAGTACCATTTATTGAAGATGCTGTATTTCCTCCAGTGGATTTTTTGGGGGCAGGTCATCTTTGTCAAATATTAGATTGGTATACATATGTATGCTTGTTTTTGGGTCTTCTATTTTATTTAGAAAGCCTGTTTTTGCCAGTACCATATTGTTTTTATTACTATAGCTCTGCAGTATATCTTGTAATTCCTTCTCATTTGTTCTTTTTGTTCAGGATTGCTTCAGCCATATGGGATCTTTTGTGGTTCCATATGAATTTCAGAATTTAGTTGTGTTTTGGTGAAAAATGTTGCAGGAATTGTACTGAATCTGCAAACTGTTTTTGGTAGGATGGTCATCTTCAAAATATTAATTCTACCTCCCATAAGCATGGAAGGTTTTTCTGTTATCTGGTGTGTTTCTCAATCTCTTTCTTTAGAGATTTCAAGTTTTAATTGTGGAGGTCTTTTGCCTCTTTGGTGAAGTTTGTTTCTAGGGATTTAATTGTATTTGAGGGCATTGTGACTAGGAGCACGTCCATAATCTTCTTCTCAGCATATTGTTGTTGTTATATAGAAAGGCTATTAATATTTATAAGTTGATTTTGATTCCTACCACTTTGTTGAGATTGTTGGTTGATTCTCTATGTTTTCTGGTGGAATTTTTCAGATTTCTTACATATAACCATAACAAATCATCTATAAATAGGGATAATATAATTAGTTTCTGTTTCTTGTCTTATTCCTCCAGATAATACTTTGAGTAGTACATTGAAAAGGAGTAGGGAGAATGGAGAGCTGAGTCTTGTCACCAATTTTTATGGGATTGCTTCAAGGTTGTTTTTCAATTTAGGAGGATGTTAGCTGTGAGTTTGTCATATGTAGCCTTTATTATGATGGTATCTATTTCCTCTAGTCCTACTCTATCTAGGACTTTTATCAAGGTAGATGATCATGTGATTTTTGTCTTTAAGTCCATTTATATGGCTCATTAAATTTATTGATGCAACTATGTTGTCACATTCTTGTATCTCTGACACAAAACCAACTTGATGACAGTGAATAATCTTTTTGATAAATGCATAAATTCATTCATAAGTATTTTATTGAGGATTTTTTCTATGTATGTTTATCATGGATTAAGGCCAAGACTTGACAGATTGGACCTTCATAAAATTAAGAAGCTTTTGTGAAGCTAAGGAAACAATGAGATGACAAGGGAGTCCATGAGTGGTAGGTAATCCTTGCTGAGTATTCACCTGATAAAGGGCTAATATTAAGATTATGAAAACAGGAAAACAATTGACTCACCCAGTAACAGTTCTGGGATGTGAACAGCATTCTCAAAAGAAGAAATAAAAACAGCAAAGAAACATCTCAAACAATGTTCATCATCCCTAGCAATTATGAAAATGAGCAGGCAGGATGTCTCAGATCAACACAGTAATGAACCACAAAAGCTAGAGAAGATGTAGGGAAATGGGCACCCACATTCACTATTGGTGGACTGCACACTGCTGCAGCCACTCTGGAAATCAGTGTGGAGAATTGCAATCAATCAATCAATCAATCAATCAATCAATCAATCAATCAATCAATCTACCATATGACCCAGCTATAGCACTCCTTGACACGTGCCCAAGCGACTCAATATCCTACTCCACACATACCTGCCCAGCTGTATTCACTGCCATTCTAGTCACCATAACCAGGAAATAGACACAATTTAAATGTTCTTCAACTGATGAATGGATAATAAGAATGTCGGCACAGCTACACAATGGAATACCATTCAGTTATAAAGGATAAGGAAATTTGTAGGTAAACGGCTGGAATTATAAAGTAGTATATAGTGTGATGTAACCCAGACCCAGAAGAGACACACAACAAGTTTTCTCTCACTTGTGGTTCCTAGCTCCACATCTTCACATGTGAGCTCATAACCTGGAATAACTGAAGAAATCAGGAAGGTAAACGGGACCATGAAGCTCAGAGAGGGGGATAGCAGGATGGAGATGATATGAGGGGAGAAAAGGGAAAATGGCAGGGAGGACTTCAATTTGGAGAGAGTGGAAGGATACTAACAGAAATGGAGAGGACAGAGAAATAACACTAAGGATGTTTTAAAAACACACAAGGAATTATATTTTCCTAAAACTACATATAATACAAACATGTATCATATATGTGTATGGTTTTAATGAAGTTGTGACATAGAGTGATACTGCTCCCTGAAAGAGTCACACTCCACTTAACAAAGCTTTCAGTGAGAAACCTCCTTTTGAGTGGTTGGTTAGAGGAGTCCAAGAAACTCCCAAACTTTCTGGACTATTGCTGCTGCTTGCCTTCCAGAATCTGAGGTAGGCAGGTCCTTATTCCTGAAGATATCACATACTTCAGACACAGGACTCAGGGGAGTCATGATGGATCTGACCTAAGGACTTCCCCACTGTGGACTAGCCTTCATGGTAGCAGAGATGCTATGTAATCTGGTACGGATGGGTGGGGTGGCATCCAATCATCCTACCCAGGTGTGATATCTATGATCCACAAAAATGACCAGCCTGTTTGGATGTCCCTAGAGGTCCAATAGAGGTGATGACATCTTGATGGTAACCAACAGCTGTCTAATTGGACCTGAGGTCTAATTAACAGGAGGAAATGTAGCCAAATACTCATGGCTACTACTGTCGTGGATCTTAGAGTAGAATATACTATAGCCACTTTACTAAAGCAGTCCAAATCCTAACTACATCCTGAATACCTAGCCTTATAACCATACACAAATATAGCTCTCAACCATGATCAAGGAAGTTTCTCTTTGCAGCAGCTGGATACCATTACAGGCCTGGTGGACATATCTACAGTACAGTCTCTTAGCTAAAGCTAAGGGACCATCACAGAAGAGGGAGTGGAATAACTCTAAAAACCAGAGGATCCCAAAGTCTCCGGGAAGACTGAGTCTCCTAGAAATGACAAGGATACTCCATCCACGAAACCTCAACAGCATACCTACCTAAACAAGACTTGAACAACAGACATGCTAGAGTGGACAAAGGTAATTTCACAGAGACCACTTCTAGGTAATTACTATAGCTAATTAATGATCGCTGAGACAGCAAGAATTGGTTTTTCCTAGGGATGAGCTCCATAATTGGTTTTTCAGTACCAAGTGGTCAGCCCTGAAAACATACACAAGTAACACTTGATGGACAGATCAGGGTGTGTGTATGTGTGTGTGTGTGTGTGATGTGTATGCATGTGATGTGTGTGTGTGTGGTGTGTATGCATGAGTGTGGTGTGGGTCATGTGGTGTGTGTGTGTGTGAATGTGGTGTGTGTGTGTTTGTATGTATGCGGTACGTGGTGTGTGTGCACATGTCTGTGTGTGTGTACATGAGTGTGGTGTGGGTGCATGTGGGGTGTGTGTATGGTGTGTGTGTGTATGTGTGTGTGTTTGTATGCATGGTGTATGAGTGCACATGTGTGTGTATGTGTGTATACATTTATATATGTAACAATGACAGTTAAAGAAGCAGCGATCGATTTGAGAGGGAATAAAGAGTGACATAGGAGGGGATGGAGGGACATAGGAGGAGGGGGGAAAATGCTGTAAGTACATTTTAAATTAAAAAATGCTGTAAGTATATTTTAACTAAAAAGTTTAAAAGCAACGCACACTGAGTGTTTTCTGACTTAGTGGGCAGCATGTGCTCAATAACTAACTGCTCTAATTGGGCAGATACTATCTTTGCAAAATTTAGAGGAAAATGGATTTTGGCTAAGTTTTTCAGGAAAATACTTTCATCTCAATTTTAGATCCTGAAGATCATATGACTTCTCAGAAAAAAATTAACTTGTGACCTATTACCTGAATCTCTTCGGTCACTGACTTGAACTGGGGAACACGTTCTGTCATGTTTTTAACCAGCTCCACCGCATTATCAAATCCTTTTACATATTCTCCATACATCTTAAGGAATGGCGCCAACTTTTGCAGAATATCTCCAATTCTGGGAGTAGTTTCCCTGCATTAAATATAGAAACATCATTAAAATTTCCTATAGAATGAGGAAATCAGTAGGCCTGAAGAGAGAGTAGTCACTACATATGATCTGCTCTATTAGATCTACTTTGCTCTAACACTGGCAAGAAATATCTTTCAAAGGGGAGCATAGGAGTTTCAGAAAGAGGCTACAGAACTCTCAGAGTTGCAGACTTTTCCCGAGTTCTGTCTTCACTAGTCAGAACACCATTCAGAGAAAAGACTCGAAAGCCCATTATGAGAAACCCAAGAATGTAGCCTAGTGTCTACTAGCCATTTTTATGTAAAGATTTGGCACTATAATAACTGTAGCAGTATGTGGAACATCTGTTCTATTTTAAAAGCTGAAAAGTAGCATCGTGCATGCATGACTTAGGCCTAGCAGTCCTGCTTCTCCATCTTACCATTCTTGCATTCGCTTCTCCAGTTCTGGTAATAGGAATTTACTGTGGAAGGCATTTATTGATGAAATGTTAGAAAAGATTTTATTCACCATCTCTGCAGGAAATGAGCCTCGGTTTGCTTCTTCTAATAGTTTGCAATAAAATACCTGAATAAAAGAATAAAGCAAATGTTACTTTAGATTTATTGGTGAACTGACTTTCACTATAATAGGCCTGCACTGGGCTTGAAGGAACACCTTGTTGAATAAATGGGTAAGCTCGTGCCTTAAGGAATCAATCACTCCATAAAATGTAGGAGGAAATATATGTTTTGATTTTGAAGAATTTTAAATGTGAATTAGGAAGATATTAAGGTACATGGTTAATAGAGCTTTTCTGTTCCAGAGAACTTCCAACTGACAGGGATTTATTTACACTTCTCATCTATGGCTATAATTAAGGGGCATGAAAAGATTTTATTATGTGTACAGTATGATAGCTTTCATGTACTATGTTTGAATGACGTCTATAGTGTTATACATTACCCTTACTGTGTGCAATGGCTATGCTAATTGTCAACTCAACAGGCTCTGGGCATGCCTGTGGGCAATCATCTTGACTGCATTAACTGCCTATGTGGAGAGTAGCATTCCCTGGCTGGGATCTTGGAATCAGAGTGAGGGATGCGATCAGCACAGACCACTGACTGCTCTCTCTGTTTCTTAATTACAATACAGCGTGACCAGTTTCTTTAAGTTCCGGCTCTCTTAACCTTCCCTACATGATGGACTGTGCCCTTGTCTTGAACTGTGAGTCAAAATGAACCTTTCCCTCCTTAGTGTGTTTTAGTCAGGGTTTGAATCACAGCAACAAAAAAAGTAACTAAGGTGTGGTAGTTGGCTGGCACCTCACACTTCCTGTTAACACTCTATGTATCTTGAAAGGGGAGTCTAGGTAGCTTAGTTCCCATAGTAGAACAGATGCTTAACCTCTGGACACAGAGAGCAAAAACAACAACAAAAACCTTTGAGTTCTTAGATTTTAATTTGCTTTTAAATAAGTAATACCACATAAAAACTTGAACATTTATCTGTGTATTTAGGGATCTTCTGTACATTGTAACATGTACCTCAAAGATAACTAGCAAAATAAAACATTTGAACTTTTAGCTACAATCTGCTGGAGCTACAGTACTTCACTGCTATTTTGTTAAAATCAGGCAGAAGAAAGTCTGTTACTTCACCATATCCAAGTGATTTATCTTGCTGCAAAAAATACTGCAAACTTATCCCCTTAAAGACTAAGGGGGGGTGCTAATATGACTAACACACTAAGACATTTATAACATCAGCAAAAATAGTCAAATGATTTGGCACAAAAAAGATAACAACTAGAAGAAAAGAGTTCTTTTCACTATGGGAACACTCACTCATTTCAAGACTCCTTTTCCCATGTGGAAGAAAAGCTATCTTTGCTCGGATTCCACAGGGGCTGACTCTGTCTCACAGTAAAATTCCTTGACACCGATAATCTGATCTATAACTTCACTATTTTACAGAACACATTTTAAAGTGGCTTCACAACATTCATACAACCAGTATATTGCTGATCCTGGAAACCAATAATAAGGTATGTGTAGGACCATGTGTTTCCATGCAATCCAAATTTACCGGTGGTAAAGGGAGAATGGCTGATTTCTCTTTTAACAAGAGACACCTGCCGTAGTGGGTGACCTACCACCATAGAACCACAGTGCATTTTTCAGTGACTCTGATGTACTTAGAAACTTCCAAAGTGTTTGGATGAAACCATGTTCAAGGATGCACCATAATTAAAGTACAGAATGTGGTACAGTAAACCCATGTATGAAATAAATACTGACTGTATGACTAAGCCAGGTTCCATACAAGACGGAACAAATGGACTTCCAAAACCTGCGACATGACAGTGTGACATTAGACAAGACAGACCAGTCACTGAAGTAACCACCAACGCCTACTTAAATTTTAGTAGTTAACACGGAGTCCCAAGAATACAATGAATGGTCAAGAAATAAGAACAATCTTTGACATTACAGAACACAGTCTGTGACATATATAGAAACCTACACTCTTATGAGTTGCAAACATCTTGTATTCAACAAATTTATCGATGAGGCTGTGAACATTTCTTTAAAGCAAGTAACTTTCACTACCCATACCAGTCAGGCCTGCACTGAGTCCTGAAATGCTTCGATTCCTAGGGGAGAATGACAGATAACTGCAAACTGTTACCTGGTCTAAGAGGTTGAGCCGGCTGACATAAGCTCTTTCTGTAAGCAAAAGTTCATTGGCTATTTTGTGAAGTTTCTGCTCATTAGTCTCCTAAAAAATCAAACAGATATTTGCATATAAGAAAAGGAAGCTGGACATTTTCCTTAAGTAACAAAACACCCAATCAGAATGCTCAATCAAAGCAGTTTTCCCAAATGTTTCAGGAATATCCAAGCAAAAGTCGACGGGCTGATCAGATCTGAACGGACCTGCTGTGACGCCTGTGGCTGGCAGCACTGCTGTTACCCTTTCTCCTGAACATTCTGTCTTTCTCAGTGCCCAGGACTGTCTTCACTCTTACCTGCTTCTGACATACCACATGTCTTATTACTAACTATGCAAGTAACATTTTGCATTTAAAAATACATTGTGTGAAATATGTGATCATCAATATTAATAGAGAAAAGAGTAAGAATCATCACTGTGTGTCTGATGCTAAGGTACAACTTTTTGTCTCCATCTTGTTTCAGTTATGCCTCTTCTCACCTCTCTCATATTATTTTTTTACTTTTGAGACACAGTCTTGTCATGCAGTCCTGGCTGGCCTACAACTAGCTTTGTAGATCACGCTGATCTTGAACTCACAGAGATCTGCCTGTCCTGACTTCCCAAGTGCTGGGACTAAAGGTGTTCCCCATTATACCCAACTCTCGTGTTATCTTTAATTAAATCTAATGTGTACTGTTTCCTCCTTAAATATATATTTACTCAACCTTTGAATTTATTTGTATCACCTTGCTAGTTTCATGATGATAGGAACCTTTTCTCTTGTTAGGTCTCTAACTCCTTTAATCAACTCCCATGCTTCACTGGAAATCCCAGCCACTCAGTAAAACATTGCTGATAAAATGAGTGGCTCTCCTACAGATAACTACTATTTTGCATTTATTATGACTTCAACAAGATGTCAGACTACATTTTTCAAGAACCTCTGCCTGATGCTCTAACTATAAACTCTCCCATCCTGGTACCATCCCTTTTCAGCTACCTGGGTAGGGTCCATGAAATTTGGACAACCAAGTCCTATGAATGGTCATATATGAAAACACACATACATCAAAAGGCATGAACAAATCATATCTAGGAATGTATATTTATGTACCTGTACATCTATGCATGCAATAACAATTAGTGAAAAAAGAGGCCATGAAATTAAAGGACAGTGAGGAGGGTTTGGAAGGAGGAAGAAGGGGAAGGAATATAGTTTTATTAAAATCTCAAATGTAAAATAAAAATATTAAGTTTTTTCATTATAAGAAACTGAAATTTATTATTATTTTTCAGAACATAAATCGGGAAATAGATTCGGTATACATTACTCGAGGCTGACATTCCCAGCTCCTTAGCAGTGCCCCTCAGTGAATGTTCTGTTCTTGTTCATTCATTACTGTATTTTGAATCATCCCCTCTGCCACATATGGCGGCTCATGTCTCACCCTTCAGCCAATAAACCCATTTCTTTCCAAGAGTGAGGGTTTCTGTGGAATAGTAGAAAACTTTAACCTGACCTACACAAACCCTTGCTTCTTATCACTCTGTACCAAATTCAGAGGAAGACCTGACAAAAAAGATGCAGTATAGCCCCTTTTCTGTTCAAACTTACGTCATTTTATTACATTAGAGAGGAAAATATAGCAACGATGTTTGTGGAGGTTTTCTACCTTCTTTGATATACTCAAATATGTTATTATTTCAACTTAATAATCTGTGCAGCTTTATGTATGAATCCATGTTATTCTGTATATTTCCAACTACAAAATGAAAATTTAAAATGCTGGTTTGACTACACGGAAATACTTGATAAAAGTAAATCTCAATGATTTGGGTTACAAAAATTGGTTCAGATGTTAAGCAACAATGTCTAAAACTTCTCACAGGATGAAACTGTATTTTTGAGTTTCCACTCTGAGATTAACGTTTCAATACGCATGCCATTCTCACAGGTGGTCGAGTTGTGTCCTGTTAGCAGTCAAGAAAAGCTGGGATTGAGTCTGCTACTGAACCGATGATGAAGAAGACATGGGCATTTATGTCGGCAGGGTGACACTGTGGTGAGGACCTGACAGCAGAGAGGGAGGGAGGGAGGGAGGGAGGGAAGGAGGGAGGGAGGGAGGGAGGGAGGGAGGGAGGAGGGATGATTTGGAAGGGCTCAGGATGAGAAAAGCCTCTTTGCAAGACCTGAATGTGAAGAACTGGCTGCCTTCCAATTCTTGCCACTTTCAATTAGGGAAGCAAATTATGCTGCCCAAGTAATGCAATTATCATCAGCGTGTTTAGCGTGGAGGCTTTCCCTGCAGAATCCCAGCAAGAAAAAGTGTGAAAGTGGTAACATTGTCTAAATTTGAATAAATTCCCGTAAGATCCCATAAGAGAGCTGCAGGCTGAGCTGAGCGCTGGTCCCCAAACATTTGTCCTTCCATTCGATTGCATCTTTTATACTCTGCTAACAACAGTATTGGCGAATTATTTTAAACTAACAGTCATAATAATCACCTCTTTTAATCTGTGGGTGGGTGGATAGGTTTAAATACTCAAGAAGTACATCTGTCCATTTCTTTTAAAAATACTAAGTTTTTTGTTTTTGTTTTTTTTTTTGGTTTTTACGAGACAGGGTTTCTCTGTATTGTTTTGGAGGCTGTCGGTCCAGCCCAGCCTCGAACTCACAGAGATCCGCCTGCCTCTGCCTCCCGAGTCCTGGGATTAAAGGCATGCGCCACCACCGCCCGGCTAAAAATACTAAGTTTTAAACATTAAACATTAAGTTTTCCTCATTGCCACCCTGTTCTGCAGCTCTCACGTCAAGCCCAGGCCAGTCAAGAGTATCCATGTCCTGTGACTCCAACATCTCTTGTCTGTTACTTACCTTACATATTGCTGTGTGAAGACTCTATCTACAACTTTGTTTTTACCCATATAAATACACTTTAGAGGAAGAAACGGAAACACACTATCCTTTATATCCACAGGAAATGCTGGCTAGCATTAACATGACATGTCAAGTCAGACCTACTGAGGCCCACTCTTCTGACAGTAAAATGCACCCTTTGTGGAGTATGGAGAAATTTATATAAGCATGCAAACACCACCAAAATCAAGGCACAGGACATTCCCATCACGCTTAATTCTTAAGTACATTGATAGGGCTAGCCTCCCCATCCAGCTTGCTGCTGGGATCCAGTGTCTGTCTTCCTGAGTCTGGGATTGTCAGTGGTCCCCACACCCACTCATGGGTTCTGAGGAATCTGAATTCTAGACCTCTGTTTGCTCAGCAAGTGTTTTAACCACTGAGCCATTTCTCCAGGCCCCTGACATTATTTAAAAAAATAATTCAGCAGATTTATTTTGCTATAATCGTCTTTCTCATAGGCCATAAAATATGCTGACAGGTTACCTTGTTTATTATTGACAGGCAGTGAGGTCATTACTGTGGGGTCTTGAACAGGATGCTTAGAACAAGCAAGGTTTTGCTGTGAAGGTTCTGAGCTGAACTTAGCCAAGTGTGAACACATGTCATACTCTGCAGCACCCAAAGGTGGCAGCAGTACTCAGCAAAGGCTTTCCTCCAAAGGCTTCGCTCACCTGGCCTAGACTGGCTTCCTCATTAGGCTCACTGGCAGCAAGCATAGTCACTTAGAGTTAGTTATTAGGTGTCTTGTGGTACAGAGGAGTTTTGGACTAATGGAGCTTTGGTTTAGGTTTCTCCATATGATAAGAACATCTAAAGAGCTTCTAACACTTAATCACTGATTTTGTATTATATGTCAAACATGGGCTTATTTTTCTTAATTTGATTCACCTTTGCTCTTTGAGAGTCTCTCTTTGTAGCTGTGGCTATCCTGAACTTGCCAGGTATCCCAAGTTGGCCATGAACTCACACAGATGTCTTTGCTCTGACTTCAGAGTCCTGGGACTAAAGGCATGTGTCAGCAAACCTAGTCTTTGACTCATCTTTTTAGCTATAAAACAGGGACAATTTTTATTCTTGCTTTGCAGGCTATGTACATGCAACAAAAATACCGAGCCGAAGATGGCTGGGCCGCACAGTTACAAAGTCATTATATGAATTCCAGTCAAAGAATTTCAAGTAACTGTTTATTATATAGTTTAAATAGTGTCCTCTTTCAGTGCAATAAAAAATAAGACTTTGATATAAGCAAAGAACACAGGTACAAACTGTCTGCTAACAAAACCTGATTTAACACAGAATGTTGTATCTATGGTGCATTTTAATATATAGTTCATTTTCCCCCCAGAGGAATTCCAGCTCACACAGGCTTTTAAAGAGCATTTTAATAATCATCAGGTATATAAAATCTATATATTTTAATGGAAAGAATACTTTCCAATTTAAAAGATTATTTTTTAAAACACACCTTTTAGTAGATTTATGAAAAAATGTGATATCTACCCAGATGGGGCTCTGTGATATTTATCATATATTATGATACATTAAAATTTTTTCCGGTGTTTCTAAGACAGACCAGAGAGACAAACAAAATACTTCAAGGCAGATTACAAATGAGCCTCCTTCACGCCTCTGATCTGGAGCTAGCCAAAAAGAAATTCTTATGTATCCTTGCCCAACAGTAGATCACAAACTTCTTCATTTAGAAGGTGTCCTGTGCTGTCTACACCAGCAAAGAAAGAATGCCAACAAAAACATGAAGAGACAGGCAGAAGTGAGCTTCCCAACCAGTGTATTAGCAACTATCCCTACTCAATGATACCTCCTAACAAACCAGAAGAAATAAGCTTGGAGAACTTCTGGGTAGCTGAACACAGGGAGCTTCCTGCAAGCAAGTTTCTAGCAAGCAAGCTTGACCTCCTGACTGGCACCCTGCCTTATGCATCTGTCTTTAATTTTTGTAACACTGCATACGATAAACCAGTGGGCAGAAGCATTTCCTTCCTGGTCTGTGAACCACTCAAGTGAGTCAGTCACCTTGAGGAGGGCATCTTATAAACTCACTTACAGCAGTTGGCCAGAAGCACAGTTTGAGTTTGTGGTTTGCAATTCAAGTGAAGCAACCAGGTCTTGGAGACTGACTGAG